CTTCGGTTGAATTTTTCACAGTGCCTGGTAATGAAGGTTTGTAAATTACTTTCTAAGAGAATGCAGTTTTTGCCGTTTAAAAAATTTGACTTTTCCCTGTCACCATTTCGTCTAGCTAATCGTGGATGTAACTGAATTAAAGATTCTATTAATGGCTAAAATGTTACAAAAAACATAAAACAACTGAAAATAATGACCCGCGGCAAAAGACGCCCCGAAAAGTTTCTTTTTTCAATTTTGAAAAAACCGGGCGACACCTCGAAGGTGGCCGCTTTATTGCGTTATTCAAAAAATTCTAGTTATTTTCGGAGACGTTAAAACGTCAGATTTAGTTGCTAGGCTGATGGAAGTAAAGTTTCACCTTGACAAACAATTCTTACGTTTAGTAATATAAAAAAAGATAAATGGGCCTACACATATACTTGTATTATCTTTATAAAAAATCTTTTTCTGTTTCTGCTCAACTCATAACTTATGTTACTGGTGTGAGAGTACTGATAACCCGACGCCATGAAGGGAGACGTCAGTTGTTAATTATTACCTAAATCAGTAGACGTTTTGAAAATAAAAATATACATTCACTCGTTTCTTCTGCCTTGCATTAGTAATATGATTCACTGCTGCTATCTTCCAGGTTGTTAATTATTACCTAAATCAGTAGACGTTTTGAATATAAAAATATACATTCAGTCGTTTCTTCTGCCTGGCATAAGTAATATGATCCACTGCTTCTATCTTCCAGTTTTGTAAATCAATATAATTTGTTTTTTCATTTTTCAAAATAACAAGTCAGCTGATTACAAAATGTGTCTCAGAGTACTTGGGTGACTGCTCATGCTAAGTCCAGTGTACTTTCAATTGTCTCTACAATTCACTACAATTAAAACAACCATACTCCCTCAGGCTGCCTCAAAAATGCAGTCACCCTACGCCAAATTACATTATCCACATTTTGGATCAGTGTTCAAATACACGCACACTAAAGTAGCCTGCGAGAAGTTCTACCAGCTTAACGGACATCGTACCTATAAAAATTTTAGGGAGAAGGTATGTTGCTCAGAAATTGTCATCAAATTTGCCTGCACATTTCACAGACATTGCTTTGAACTTATTATTCTTATTATAAACAAATTGATAGGCAGAATAATCAAAATATAAAATATAAAAGTAAATGTATATGTTAATAAGATATTATTACCAAATTTGCGCATCACTATCAAAGGCCATCCCCTTTGAACAAGTTGACCATTGGTGACAACAAGAACGCCATCATGTGACTATACGTCAACAAAGGTATAAAAGCGCAAAATTTTAAAAGTGCGTTCACTCAACAGCAGACAGATCTAGAGCAACAGGAAGGATGCCATGTGCTGCGCCCTGTATCAAGCACAAAGGACACGGGAGTCGACTCCCATTTCTCCGAATCTTCTCATCCTACGTCAACGCATCGCTCTTCGACATATTGTTCCTTGCATACGCAGACGTCTAGACGGCGTTTCTCTTAGCTGGCCAGCTAAAATCTTCGCTTCTCCCCACGAGGAATCGTCGCTCGGTCATCTTCGCAGGATACTTCACCTTTTTGCTGTCGTGGGCTGGAGTCGTAGTGCCATTGCATTTTCCCATGCTTTCCAGGTTTCTTTTTTATTACAGGTCCAGGAAGCAGACTGCAAACTGATGGGCGCCACCTGTGGGACTTCGACTTCACTCCTTAAGGTATGTAATCTTTTTTTCTTTTTGGAAGGGGGGTTTGAGAAATAAAGAAATCTAATCTCGTTTTTATTTCTGTTTACAGGACATAGAAGATGATGGCCGCTACCTGTGGGACTNTTAATCAAAACTAGAGTATTATTCGCTCATTAATCAAGTTATCAATTTTGTCTGGACTTGCCTCATTTTTTCCAGTCGTTTTACTTTCTTTTCACTTTCCTTTGATTTACATTTTGATTGTCTTGGCAAGCCTTTTACTTGCAGTGGTGTCAGTAGCCCATTTACTTATATTCTACTCATCAATTGTGGACCAATCATTCTTTTTAAAATATAATAGTTGTAAGACAATATCGCAAAGTTGGCTTTGTATAGTTGGCTATCCAGATTTAGCAGTCTAAGCTTAATTTTTTTGTGAAACGGTTCCCTTATTTCAATGGGCCAGTATACCAAATTAGTATTGAATTTACATAATTTATCTTTATTAGCACAATAAGAATCTTGCCATCTACTTTGAAGTTTCATTGTTATTAACATTTTAGAATTGTTATGAAATTAAGCTAATTATGTTATCAGTAAGAACAAGATGATATTATAATGATACATTTATGTACTGTGTAGATGCCAGTGTAATTCTAAATTATGAGGAGAAATTTTAATAGTTTTGTCATGGATGAAAAACAATGAGGTCTACGGGATTATTTTAATTTTGTGCAAAATGGGGCAACAGACAATGGTTATTTATGTACTGAAAATATATCAATAAAGCAGAAAAGAATGATCAGCGTTTTCATAAGTGCTAAGCTATGTGGTGGAACCAAAATTTTAAGAAACAGGTTTTGTAGGGTTGCAAAATATCGTGTGTATCATATGTCCATTGAACCAGCAGTCTAAAAAGCTTTATAATTCTTGCGAGTGGTTTCTTCTTAGTAATTTGGACATTTAAGGTAAATCTAAGACAACACCGCTTTACTAAGAAATGATGTAAATTCACAAACTACAACGAAGATGTACTGTGCAGGGGCGGATTTAGGCCGTCTTCTGGGTCTTCTGGAAGACGGTCAGATTTTCAAGTTTACATTGTCAGCCATCTATTTTTTTCTGTCGGAAGACGGTCAAAAATTCAAGATGGATCAACAAAGATAATTTGGAAGACCAGAAAATATCTCTGGATCCGCCCCTACTGTGAATTATACATAAGGAATGTCTGATCGGAGAGCGGGGTGCATTCGACACACATGAATATTTGTCACTCATATATAGTTTTTTTTTTAATTACTCACACTCCATAATGATAACTTAAGCTAGAAGACACATTTTGTACTCCCAGTTTCATGGACATACTCCTAGGGGCGTTTCCAATATGTATTAGAGGGGGTGGTTTTTTTTTTACCCCTCCTCAAATAAATTTTAAAACTCGGTCGGAACTTATAATTTGATATTAAATAACTTAGAATTATAAATTTATAATTGTATATGCGTTTAAAAAAGTCATCAAATCACGTTCCAAGACCTCAATATTTTCGTAATGTACGCCTCATGACACTTGATAACGTTCACGTGATTCAGATGAGGACAAAATGGACAGATGTGTCAAAAATATCTGAAATATCGATATTGGGAAAGGGTTTAAGGGATTGATGTAAGGCACATGAGTAAAATGTGGTCACATAAAGAGATAATTCTAGTTTTTTATGTAATCATTGCAAACATTTTCCGACTCATGCATGCCTCAAAGTATGGGAAGTTTAAATATTTAATATCGAAGGCTTTAAAAATATCCCATATGGATAATATTTACACGTTTTTAATACTAAAAAATTAGACTGCTTTAAATAGGTACATGTATTACGACATGCACGTTTATTTTTGACACATTTTGTCTTCAACTTCGGCTGAATTTTTCACAGTGCCTGGTAATGAAGGTTTGCTAATTACTTTCTAAGAGAATGCAGTTTTTGCCGTTTAAAAAAATTTGACTTTTCCCTGTCACCATATCGTCTAGCTAATCGTGGATGTAACTGAATTAAAGATTCTATTAATGGCTAAAATATTACAAAAAAACATCAAACAACTGAAAGTAATGACCTGCAAAAAAAGACGCCCCGAAAAGTTTCTTTTTTCAATTTTTAAAACCGGGCGACACCTCGAAGGTGGCCGCATTATTGCGTTATTAAAAAAATTCTAGTTATTTTTGGAGACGTTAAAACGCCAGATTTAGTTGCTAGGCTGATGTAAGTAAAGTTTCACTTGGACAAACAATTCTTACGTTTAGTAATATAAAAAAAGATAAATGGGCCTACACATATACTTGTATTATCTTTATAAAAAATCTTTTTCTTTTTCTGCTCAACTCATAACTTATGTTACTGGTGTGAGAATACTGATAACCCGACGCCATGAAGGAAGACGTCAGTTGTTAATTATTACCTAAATCAGTAGACGTTTTAAATATAAAAATATGCATTCACTCGTTTCTTCTGCCTTCCATTAGTAATATGATCCACTGCTGCTATCTTCCAGGTTGTTAATTATTACATAAATCAGTGGACGTTTTGAATATAAAAATATACATTCACTCGTTTCTTCTGCCTTGCATTAGTAATATGATCCACTGCTGCTATTTTCCAAGTTGTTAATTATTACCTAAATTAGTAGACGTTCTGAATATAAAAATATACATTCAGTCGTTTCTTCTGCCTGGCATAAGTAATATGATCCACTGCTTCTATCTTCCAGTTTTGTAAATCAATATAATTTGTTTTTTCATTTTTCAAAATAACTAGTCAGTTGATTACAAAATGTGTCTCAGAGAACTTGGGTGACTGCTCATGCTAAGTCCAGTGTACTTTCAATTGTCTCTACAATTCACTGCAATTAGAACAACCATACTCCCTCAGGCTGCCTCAAAAATGCAGACACCCTACGCCAAATTACATTATCCACATTTTGGATCAGTGTTCAAATACACGCACACTAAAGTAGCCTGCGAGAAGTTCACAGCTACCAGCTTAACGGACATCGTACCTATAAAAATTTTAGGGAGAAGGTATGTTGCTCAGAAATTTTCATCAAATTTGCCTGCACATTTCACAGACATTGCTTAGAACTTATTACTCTTATTATAAACAAACTGATAGGCAGAATAATCAAAATATAAAATATAAAAGAAAATGTATATGTTGATAAGATATTATTACCAAATTTGCGCATCACTATCAAAGGCCATCCCCTTTGAACAAGTTGACCATTGGTGACAACAAGAACGCCATCATGTGACTATACGTCAGCAAAGGTATAAAAGCGCAAAATTTTAAAAGTGCGTTCACTCAACAGCGGACAGATCTAGAGCAACAGGAAGGATGCCATGTGCTGCGCCCTGTATCAAGCACAAAGGACACGGGAGTCGACTCCCATTTCTCCGAATCTTCTCCTCATCCTACGCCAACGCATCGCTCTTCGACATATTGTTCCTTGCACACGCAGACGTCTAGACGGTGGATTCGGCGTTTCTCTTAGCTGGCCAGCTAAAATCTTCGCTTCTCCCCACGAGGAATCGTCGCTCGGCCATCTTCGCAGGATACTTCACCTTTTTGCTGTCGTGGGCTGGAGTCGTAGTGTCATTGCATATTCCCATGCTTTCCAGGTTTCTTTTTTATTACAGGTCCAGGAAGCAGACTGCAAACTGATGGGCGCCACCTGTGGGACTTCGACTTCACTCCTTAAGGTATGTAATCTTTTTTCTTTTTGGATGGGAAGTTTGAGAAATGAAAGAAATCTAATCTCGTTTTTATTTCTGTTTACAGGACAAAGAAGATGATGGGTGCCACCTGTGGGACTTCGACTTCACTCCTTAAGGTATGTAATCTTTTTTCTTTTTGGAAGGGGGGTTTGAGAATTGAAAGAAATCTAATCTCGTTTTTATTTCTGTTTGCAGGACATAGAAGATGATGGGCGCCACCTGTGGGACTTCGACTACACTCCTTAAGGTATGTAATCTTTTTTTCTTTTTTGAAGGGGAGTTTGAGAAATGAAAGAAATCTAATCNTCATAAGCCTAACAGTACCATATCTATAACATACTACATGTATATTAGAGGGGGTGTTTTTTTTTTACCCCTCCTAAAATAAAATTTAAAACTCGGTCAGAACTTATAATTTGATATTAAATAACTTAATTATAAATTCATAATTGTATATGCGTTTAAAAAAGGTCATCAAATCACGTTCCAAGACCTAAATGTTTTTGTAATGTACGTCCATGACACTTGATAACGTTCACGTGATTCAGATGAGGACAAAATGTGTCAAAAATATCTGAAATCGATATTGGGAAAGGGTTTAAGGGAATGATGTAAGGCACATGAGTAAACTGTGGTCACATAAAGAGATAAATCTAGTTTTTTTTTGTGTGTAATTATGCAAACATTTTCCGACTCATGCATGCCTCAAAGTATGGGAAGTTAAAATATTTTAAATAACGAAGGCTTTAAAAATATCCCATATGGATAATATTTACACGTTTTTAATACTAACAAAAATTAGACTGCTTTAAATAGGTATTACGACATGCACGTTTATTTTTGACAAATTTTGTCTTCAACTTCGGTTGAATTTTTCACAGTGCCTAGTAATGAATGTTTGCTAATTACTTTCTAAGAGAATGCAGTTTTTGCCGTTTAAAAAATTTGACTTTTCCCTGTCACCATATCGTCTAGCTAATCGTGGATGTAACTGAATTAAAGATTCTATTAATGCCTAAAATATTACAAAAAAAAACATCAAACAACTGAAAATAATGACCCGCGACAAAAGACGCCCCGAAAAGTTTCTTTTTCCAATTTTTAAAAACCGGGCGACACCTCGAAGGTGGCCGTATTATTGCGTTATTCAAAAAGTTCTAGTTATTTTCGGAGACGTTAAAACGTCAGATCATAGAAGTAGGCTGATTTAAGTAAAGTTTCACTTGGACAAACAATTCTTACGTTTAGTAATATAAAAAAAGATAAATGGGCCTACACATATACTTGTATTATCTTTATAAAAAATCTTTTTTCTGTTTCTGTTCAACTCATAACTCATGTTACTGGTGTGGGAGTACTGATAACCCGACGCCATGAAGGGAGACGTCTCTTGTTAATTATTACCTAAATCAGTAGACATTTTGAATATAGACATATACATTCACTCGTTTCTTCTGCCTTGCATTAGTAATATGATCCACTGCTGCTATCTTCCAGGCTATTAATTATTACCTAAATCAGTAGACGTTTTGAATATAAAAATGTACATTCAGTCGTTTCTTCTGCCTGGCATAAGTAATATGATCCACTGCTTCTATCTTCCAGTTTTGTAAATCAATATAATTTGTTTTTTCATTTTTCAGAATAACAAGTCAGCTGATTACAAAATGTGTCTCAGAGTACTTGGGTGACTGCACACGCTAAGTTTAGTGTACTTTCATTTGTCTCTCTACAATTCACTACAATCAGAACAACCATACTCCCTCAGGCTGCCTAAAAAATGCAGTCACCCTACGCCAAATTACATTATCCACATTTTGGATCAGTGTTCAAATACACGCACACTAAAATAGCCTGCGAGAAGTTCACAGCTACCAGCTTAACGGACATCGTACCTATAAAAATTTTAGGGAGAAGGTATGTTGCTCAGAAATTTTCATCAAGTTTGCCTGCACATTTCACAGACATTGCTTTGAACTTATTATTCTTATTATAAAAAAATTGATAGGCAGAATAATCAAAATATAAAATATAAAAAATATATATATATGTTGATAAGATATTATTACCAAATTTGCGTATCACTATCAAAGGCCATCCCCTTTGAACAAGTTGACCATTGGTGACAACAAGAACGCCATCATGTGACTATACGTCAACAAAGGTATAAAAGCGCAAAATTTTAAAAGTGCGTTCACTCAACAGCGGACAGATCTAGAGCAACAGGAAGGATGCCATGTGCTGCGCCCTGTATCAAGCACAAAGGACATGGGAGTCGACTCCCATTTCTCCGAATCTTCTACTCATCCTACGTCAACGCATCGCTCTTCGACATATTGTTCCTTGCACACGCAGACGTCTAGACGGTGGATTCGGCGTTTCTCTTAGCTGGCCAGCTAAAATCTTCGCTTCTCCCCACGAGGAATCGTCGCTCGGTCATCTTCGCAGGATACTTCACCTTTTTGCTGTCGTGGGCTGGAGTCGTAGTGTCATTGCATATATGCAATGACACTACGAATATATTNGACGTTTTGAATATAAAAATATACATTCAGTCGTTTCTTCTGCCTGGCATAAGTAATATGATCCACTGCTTCTATCTTCCAGTTTTGTAAATCAATATAATTTGTTTTTTCATTTTTCAGAATAACAAGTCAGCTGATTACAAAATGTGTCTCAGAGTACTTGGGTGACTGCACATGCTAAGTTTAGTGTACTTTCAATTGTCTCTCTACAATTCACTACAATCAGAACAACCATACTCCCTCAGGCTGCCTAAAAAATGCAGTCACCCTACGCCAAATTACATTATCCACATTTTGGATCAGTGTTCAAATACACGCACACTAAAGTAGCCTGCGAGAAGTTCACAGCTACCAGCTTAACGGACATCGTACCAATAAAAAATTTAGGTAGAAGGTATGTTGCTCAGAAATTTTCATCAAGTTTGCCTGCACATTTCACAGACATTGCTTTGAACTTAATATTTTTATTATAAAAAAAATTGATAGGCAGAATAATCAAAATATAAAATATAAAAAAATATATGTATGTTGATAAGATATTATTACCAAATTTGCGTATCACTATCAAAGGCCATCCCCTTTGAACAAGTTGACCATTGGTGACAACAAGAACGCCATCATGTGACTATACGTCAACAAAGGTATAAAAGCGCAAAATTTTAAAAGTGCGTTCACTCAACAGCGGACAGATCTAGAGCAACAGGAAGGATGCCATGTGCTGCGCCCTGTATCAAGCACAAAGGACACGGGAGTCGACTCCCATTTCTCCGAATCTTCTACTCATCCTACGTCAACGCATCGCTCTTCGACATATCGTTCCTTGCACACGCAGACGTCTAGACGGTGGATTCGGCGTTTCTCTTAGCTGGCCAGCTAAAATCTTCGCTTCTCCCCACGAGGAATCATCNATACACTAAAATGAATTTTTCAGCAGTGCCATAAACTTTTCACCTTACTGGCCATTCAGACCACCTTCTTTCCTAAAAACTAGATATAGATGTCTGTATCTTGATTAACTGGTTCGCATACAAAGTTCAATAGGACTAGACTGGATTGCATTAATATTTGTATTAACAAGACCTTGACATTTTTCTCGAATCATGATGTAACAGTTAAATTTAAAATAAGCTCTTTTTCATACTTATAGAAAAAATCTAACAGCCGTGTCACCAAATTGACACATTCTGGAAATCTACCGATTCCACCAATTTTTCTGGCTGCAGACTGCTTTTGATATACAATTTTTGAAAACTAATCAAATTTTCCTTTATATTTACAGAACTCAATTAGGGCAATTCCTGATAAAGTCCCGCTTTTTTGAAAGAGGTGCAAGAAGAGGGGCACATTCTATTCTTGGAGCATGGTTGAGTCCTGCCATGGTCTGTATGTCAGGGGGCTGCATGGGGGAGCATCAGAAGCATATGGCGTTTCACAGAGATGGAAACCTATCAAGCCTTAAAAGGTACATATTACTCATGTTTTTGGGGGAAAACAAAACACTTAAGTGATTTTTCATACCTTGAAAAAATAAAAACCGTTAACGACATTACTTTGACAGCTCACATTCACAAGGCAATGCCTCTTACCCATGACCCACTCCTGGGATTAAGATATTTATGGTTAGTAGATTGGATTTGGGTGGGAGAAGTAAAGAGGGAAACTTATGACTATTTTTTATTTTGTAGTTGAGGCAGATAGCATTGGCGAGCGCCTGTCCTGATGACGGTCCATTTTAACAAGGTTAACGAGGTTAAAATGGAGAACGCCATGTCAGCTATATCATATGGTGTTTCAAGAGCCCTTTCCTAGTTGTGATTAGAGAGAATTCAAGGTAAGTTATGGGACAGGATAAGGGTAAATGAACTAGATTGTCATTCATTGTATAGATAATACAAATCTTTAATCAGTGCAACTCCAACAAACTGAGCATTTTGTGCAAGGTCTTAGACAAAATTGTTTTAAGTAAATGTTTGGGACCTGTTACTCAGTGCAGGCATTTGTTTTTTATTTACAATTTACTCTAGCAAATTCAGTGCTCATATTTCACAGGTAAAAAGCTCTTTTAATTTGTCATAAATGTGGAAAAACCTTATCACTCATACAAAATATTTTGACATGCCATTCATCAACTTTCAGATCCCCATCATTCTCAATATGCTGCAGGACGTTGTCACTGGTCCAGATTACTTGGAGCTACCGCCCCCAACACCCACCACCACCAATGTGACTCCGGGGCGTGGTTACTGGTCCAGATTATTTGGAGCTACCGCCCCCAACACCCACCACCACCAATGTGACTCCGGGCGTGGTCACTGGTCCAGATTACTTGGAGCTACCGCCCCCACCACCCACCACCAACAATGTGACTCCGGGGCGTTGTTACTGGTCCAGAAATTGTATACTAGCAGCTACCATCCCCACCTCCAGTGCTGTGATTGTGGTAATAAAAGGCCATCGTACAAGTGAGTGTCTATTTCCATCTCTCTATATTGTGCAGATTATTAGGCATTTTCCTGGTTTATATGCCTCCCTTTACGCCTCTTGTTCTCCAGTCACTTTCTTTTTGTACATGTAGAATCTTGGCACTCTCCCAATCAATGTTTTTTGTGATGGTTCGTTGTAGCAGAAAGCTACCTTGGGGTGTAGTGTATTTTTCCCTCTTCGGG